ACATATAAGAGTTCTATCAGATGTTCCTGTCTCGAGAAATTGACATAAAACTGTGTCAAAAATATACAAAACGTATATATGTTAGATATATGTCCGTATTACGTGGCCAGAACTCTCTCCAATGGCAGTGCAGTATACTGGTCACATGATACAAAAGGTGATACGTGACATTAGTTCTGCACTTCCATTGGTTGGAGTTCTGGTGACATGTTCCAGACGCATAAATGATATTGTCAATAATATCTTTTAAAGATGAAAAATTATTAATAGGAGCAAACTTGAGTTTCTCAGGCTTCTCTGGGATATCGTTTTTTTCAAATTGGTTGCGTATTTGCTGAATATGATTTGTTTAATATTACGAATCTTGACACAGTTTTATATTAATTTCTCGAGACAGGAACATCAGATAGAACTCTTGAAGGTATCGTTTAACGCCTGAGATTCCCAGGTTTCATACTATACCCCTTTTCATTTTTCATTTACATTCCCTTTAAGATATTTTGCTAACCTGCACTGTACTTAAAGATGAAAGAAACTAGTAAATAGAACTTTACATCTATAGAGGGGGGAGGGGGTAACATTTTTTTTAAAGATTACAAGGGGGGGTAAAAACATTTTTAAATGCTTCGCGCGGATATATTTTTTACACACCCCCCCCCCCATCTCAAATCCTGAAACCGCCCTTGTTCTCCCACGCTCCTTAATTATCAAAATAATCAATTTTAAAATCTATCCAAATGCAAGAATGTCCAATGCCAATTTAATTTAAAGAATATGTATGCTTCTCAAAACTATTTATCAACAATTTAGAAATAATAAATAGTTAAAGAGGATTATTTCCGAAAATATGAAATACGAAACTTCTCTTCGCACTCATCTAGATGACTTCAATTGATTTAGACGTTATGATGCATTTCTTTAACACAAATAAACAATCAGATTGACTAGATGTCATCAATTAGTTTATTAAAGCATTCTTAAAGGGACCGTGCAATTATTTCAAATACATCTTAATTTGGAAACCTACAATGAGGGAGGGGGTGCAGAGCAATCATGAGCCCCGTGAACTGACATCCAGAGCCTCCTGATTCGCAGAATGACATCCTAGCCAATTAAAATCATCCTCGTGCCTCACGCTGCGTCTCCGAGCCTCCGCAACTCATATTCCACATCCGGCATTCTTAAATCTAATAAAAAATATTTGGTTTTTACATCTATTAAAAGCCTTTTATTAAAAATCTCAACATGATCAAACATTTTTTATTAATACATAAACAATTTGTCTTTAAAGTCAACGTTAATTAAGATTAATAGTTTTTATTAAAAACTTAAATTTGTGCATTTTTTTATTTCATTATTCAAGTATTTTACAAAACTGTAATGTTATATATTCTGGTTTTTCTATTCAATTGTCGTAAGTCCCTTTAAACTTTAAAAGAGTATGCCTGAAATATTTGCACTGGTTTAAATATGAAAGCCACGAGCTATCTTTTAATTAGACATTTAACATTTTATCTTGATTAAAATTGAGAATATAAACCTAACCTAACCAAATGATGATACATTCGTTCTGTTTGATCAAGATACTGGCAACGGACTGCATGTACACAATAACCAGGTGTAACGTTAAATAAGGCCCGGGCGTTATATTTGGTCCGGGTTATAACTTATTTTAACTTATTTTAACTTATTATAACTTACATCTCGTATACTAAATGTAATTTAAGTTATATTTATAATTTTAACGTGACACCTGGTGCTCCTTAGATAAAAAATAATAAAATGTGTTTTGATCGTCTACAATACCTACAGGAATGTGTAAAGGGAGTTAAGGGGGCTCCCTTAAGAACCATATTTTTCACTTATCCAGGGAAGGNACCTCCTTTCCCCACTTGTAAACACCCCTTAGGGGGGGCTAAACCTCCTTTCCCCACTTGTAAACACCCCTCAGGGGGGGGGGCTAAACCTCCTATCCCCACTTGTAAACATCCCTCAGGTCCATCATTGACAATTGGAAGACGACCAAGTGTAATGATATTTGATAAATAGTGATTTAGTGATAACGATGATAACGTGATAAACACAGAAAGTTTGTAAATTTGAAAACAGTCTCGACTTTGAAGTCTTGGTCTTTGGTTTTATCTCAACAACTCACTTATACTACTTTGGTTTTATCTCAACAACTCACTTATACTACTATTGTTTTGCTCTAGAGATATGCGGTTTAAAAATGCAACGCTTGTTTTTAGCTTAAGTTTGAAAGGAGTTATTAGAAAAAGATAGATTATTTAGAATACGATGTTTGTTTTCTATTTGAAGGTTATTTTTGAGCTTGAATGCATTAACGTAAATGTTGTATTTGATCGATTTCAAATTCCATATTTGGTGGGGGTTGGGGAACAGTTTATTATACAGGATTGGCCATACAGAATTAGCTTCAATGACGACCTAAAACTTTTTAGATCAAACTTTGCTATTGATCCTCTCTTCAGTACTTTGTATTCCTTTGAAATTATTTGGCAAGGAAAGCCAAAGGTCCATAGGAAACAAGGGAATGTCAGAAAAAATTTACAAATTCTGTATAGTATATAGTATCTAAAGTCTCATCCTTTACGAGTAACCCTGTAAGAATGTAAGAAAAGAACGAACAAATTCTGTACAGTAGTATCTATAGTCTCATCCTTTACGGGTAACCCTGTAAGAATGTAAGAAAAAAATGAACAAATTCTGTACAGTAGTATCTATAGTCTCATCCTTTACGGGTAACCCTGTAAGAATGTAAGAAAAAAATGAACAAATTCTGTACAGTAGTATCTAAAGTCTCATCCTTTACGAGTATCCCTGTAAGAATGTAAGAAAAAAATGAACAAATTCTGTACAGTAGTATCTATAGTCTCATCCGTTACGAGTATCCCTGTAAGAATGTAAGAAAAAATGAACAAATTCCACACAGTAGTATCTATAGTCTCATCCTTTACGAGTAACCCTGTAAGAATGTATACAAATAAAGCTTAAGAAATTCCGTACAGCCGTCTCAGAGCTCGAAATTTAAAAGAGTATCGTTGAACGAAACTCTCGAGTTTCCTTTTTGGGGTTTTAACATTTGTGTAGATTTTGATTTAAGAGATTTAAAAAAATGGAGAATATGAAGAAAATAAATAAAATAATATTTCACAACAAAAATATTGATATCCACAAAACTGCCTAACCCCATTTGCGAAACCCGGGTTTCAAAACTGGTTGTCATTACGATACCCTGTCTTAAGTTTTGGGCTCTAAAGTCTTTGTGGGTATCCCTTGTGTTTGAATCGAAGGTTCGCTCTCACGGGTTAATGTGAACACTGTAGACCCAGGGTTGAAATAGGATTGACTTGATACTCATGCATGAATGATAATCACTAAAATCTTCTGAAGAGTCTCTCCTTAATTTAAAAAGAGTTTCTTTGAACAAAACTTCCAAGTTTCCTTTGCTGGGTCTATGCTTCAGTATATTTAGATTAAAGTGACCATAAACCTAATTTAAAGTAACCCTCCATTAAAAAAGTGAAATGTCCGATTGACAGCTGAGCCCTTTAATCTCAAATATGAATTAGATATGCATGTTATTTTTTGTAAACTGATTATTTTTATTTCTCGATTTCTTGCTTCTGTAGAAAAAAAATGGAGAAATTATCAAAATTTAACATTTTTTAAAAATGTAAATAGATATTCATGAAATTTATCGACTGTCCCTTTAAGAAATTAAAAATGAGAATAGATATTCATGAAATTTAAGTACTGTTCCTTTAAGAAATTAAAAATGAAAAGAGATATTCATGAAATTTATCGACTGTCCCTTTAAGAAATTAAAAATGAGAATAGATATTCATGAAATTTAAGTACTGTTCCTTTAAGAAATTAAAAATGAAAATAGAATTTCATGAAATTATTGAAGACTGAGTATTTGTTAAATCTCTGTATCGGGCATCAGGTTTCCAAAATGCTGGTAAGATAGTTGTGTAGAGATAATATCAATATTTTTGTCAAGAATCATTATTTAACATTGTTAGTTCGCTTTCTTCTTATCATTTTCTAATTATTTCATTAAAGTGATAATAAAAGGTTTGCCTGATATGATTAGGACTGAATCAGACATCAATATTTATGTCTTTTTAAGATTGTTCATTTTCAATACACGGTTCTTTACAAGATTGTTCATTTTCAATACACGGTTCTTTACAAGACTGTTCATTTTCAATACACGGTTTATTACAAAAATGACCTGGGCATCTCTGCTTTAGAAACGTTGACATATGTGGTTTTCCAAAAAAATTGGTTATTTTAAATTAAGTTTTCCCTATCTGTGACTTTCCTCCATGTTTTTATATTATAATTTTATTTTGATCACCCTGTATCTATGATTCAATTAAATTTTAAATACCCTGTAACTATTATTCAATAATATATTTTAAACTCCGTGTATATAGCAAAACAACTATATTTTGAGCACCCTGTCTGTATCTATAATACAATAATAAGTTGAACCCCTGTATCTGGAATACAATATTAATTTGATCACCCTGTATCTATAATAAAATTATATTTTGAACATCCTGTATCTAGAATACGATTATATTTTGAACATCCTGTATGCAAAAAACACATAAAATTCGAACATGAATCTGCACACGCACAATTGGTGTACATTTGAGTAATCGTGCTGGGCCAACCTTTTCGGTCCTATTTTGTACTGTACCGCTAATTTACAAATAGTAAAGCGGCAGACTTGTATGTGCAATAAAATCATATTTTAAACACTCTGTATTAAGCATGCTAATACATCTTGATCCCCAGCTGTATCTAGAATACAATGAGTTCCTGTATCTAGAATACAATGAGTTCTGGTAAAAATACTGGAAGGCGAAGGGAACNGAATACAATAAGTTCCTGTATCTAGAATACAATAAGTTCCAGTATCTAGAATACAATAAGTTCCTGTATCTAGAATACAATAAGTTCCAGTATCTAGAATACAATAAGTTCCTGTATCTAGAATACAATAAGTTCCTGTATCTAGAATACAATGAGTTCCTGTATCTAGAATACAATGAGTTCTGGTAAAAATACTGGAAGGCGAAGGGAACCCCTTCAACCTGTAAAAAAGAAAAAAACTAAAACAAAACAAATTCAAGAAGATAAGAAAACAACAAAAATGGTAAAATGTGTAATTCTTTAATAATTGTTATAAATGCCCCAGCCCCCACTGAAAGCAAGTCTTTGATTTTATACCCTTGGATCTGCTACCCAACCTTCTTGTATAACCTTGGATCTGCTGCCCAACCTTCTTTTATAACCTTGGATCTGCTGCCCAACCTTCTTTTATAACCTTGAATCTGCTACCCAGCCTTCTTTTATAACCTTGGATCTGCTTCCAACCTTCTTTTATAACCTTGAATCTGCTACCATCATTCTTTTAAAACCTTGGATCTGCTACCCAACCTTCTTTTATAACCTTGGATCTGCTACCCAACCTTCTTTTATAACCTTGGATCTGCTACCCAACCTTCTTTTATAAATTCGAATCTGCTACCCAACCTTCTTTTATTATAACCTTTTGATTGTGTGTGAATTAACTTATTTATAATAAATTGATTCTTTGTCACAAACTCTGATTTTCTGCTTCTTATATCTTTGAAACCCAATGTCGTGGACCATAGATATTTCAAACTATGAATTATGCTATAGATCAATATTATAAGTTTAAATATCAAAGGTTTACACCATTAGGTTGTAAAGTTATAGACATTAGAATATTTGAGTTTGTGGCAAAGGCTCAATTCCTTTGTTTTCTCCAGATTGTTGATTTAGCCGCAAAAGCAGAAATGCCGGAAGAAGATCTTAGGTTAGATTTTATTTCCTTAAAATATCATATTGTAGAGGATGAAAATCCCCTAAATAGGATTATAAATTCCGCAAATCAGTTTTGTCGGATTCTAAAACAGAGAAGATCTACTCATCTTCCTCTCCGTTAATATAAGTAGTAAATACCCTACTCCATAAACTGTTCTTGAACACGTATCTATCCAGGTATAATTCAGTTTCACTTAGCTATCAATGTTGAACCCAGATACAATCTCATGAGCTATCGCTGTCAACAAGACACTAGCTTGTATTCTATCAACACCAAATCAATGGGCGCGATCTCGTCAGCTATGATGTCAACAAGGACACTAGTTATTAATTGATGAATGCCAAACCAATGGCCACGATCTCAGCTCGTATGTTTTAACAAGAACTCGTCAGATATCAATGTAAACAAGGGCTCTAGCTAGTAATCGATCAATGCCAAACCAATGGGCACGATCTCAGCTTGTATGTTTCAACAAGAACCAAATTACTATCTCGAGTAATCAAAGGGAAGTCTCTATATCAAGTTCAACTGATGTATTTGAGGTTTATATTATTATTACAATTCCTACGTTGTTATCTATATCACATGATTGTAATAAATTCTGGAGTAGTTATATATAGTTCACCGATCTTTATTATCTGTGTTTGATTGACTCTGACCGGCTATTCCAGTCAACCTATATTTACCTGTATAAATAAATTAGTATTGAATCAATCGTTGTTTTAGACAGACGTATACAGCCAGGATTGGCTTGAGATAGAGTCAGGATTGCCTGAATAATTAGAGTTAGAGTCGAGTATTTAGAATACTCTTGGGACCTAGATTGTTACATGATTAAGACAATCATGTTATGTATTTACAGCACAGTTAAGATGGACGCAATTAAGGTATACGTTATTATATATCACATGATTAATATAATCATGTTTACGTATTTACAACACAGTTTAACTTGACGCAATTAAGATATACGTCATTATATATCGCATGATTAAGATAATCAATAATCATGTTAGGTATTTACATCACAGATAAACTATAGATGCAATTAAGATAAACGTCATTATATATCACATGATTAAGATAATCATATTACATATTTACAACACATTTTAACTTTACGCAATTAAGATATACGTCATTATACATTACATTATGAAGATAATTATGTTAGGTATTTACAGCACAGTTAAACTAGACGCAATGAAGATATTTGTCATTATAATATATTACATGATTAAGATAATCATGTTAGGCATTATTACAGCACAGTTAAACTAGATGTATTTAAGATATACGTCATTATATATCACATGATTAAGATAATCATGTTAGGCATTATTACAGCACAGTTAAACTAGATGTAATTAAGATATAGGTCATTATCTATCACATGATTAAGATAATCATGTTAGATATTTACAGCACAGTTAAACTAGATTCAATGAAGATATACGTCATTATATATCACATGATTAAGACAAGCATGTTACGTATTTACCACACAGTTAAACTAGATGCAATTAAGATATAGGTCATTATATATCACATGATTAAGCTAATCATGTTAGGTATTTACAGCACAGTTAAACTAGACGCAATGAAGATATAGGTCATTATATATCACATGATTAAGATAATCATGTTAGGAATAATGGGTTTTACATAGTTTACAAACATAGATAACTATAATGTACAACTTAGTTCAGGTTTCCAGATACCAAGTTACACAATATTTATTACAGAAATACTTGTTATTAATTATGTATTTAAAACTAGAATCAATAAATCTACTTCTAAAATAGACAGTGTGGTACACATAAATCTGTAAAATTGGGGTAAAATAATGTTAAACTCAAGTTATGATTTTAAACATCAAATTAAATCAAATCAATATCATGAAGATTAATGTAGTTTAACCATATAAATATAAATAGTCCAATGAACATGAAACACAGCAATTGAGCAGTAAGTACATAGTTAATAAGTTAATCTTTAAGCTATTGGTGCAACTATTTGCTATATTACAACATCATACATGAGATTGCATAAATTAAAGTTTTTTGAGTTTCTACTGTATATAAAGAATAAACATTATTTTTAGACGTCAGTATGCTTCCTTTATTTCTATATGCCCTGATGGTATTATGACGAAAGAAAAATTTGTTGAACTATCGAAGGTGAATATCAGTGTTTAAAGGGTATGTTCTTGAAAAAAAAAATCTGCTTTAAAGAGACTGTACTCGTAATTTCAAGTGACCATCCATGTAAAGATGTAGAAGATAATATAATTTTCGTGACTAGAAAAATGTAAATTTTTGTGAATTTTTACATTGTTCTTTATAAGCAAGAAATTCAATGCACAGGTCATATTCGGGTATTGTTGTCTTTGCAAGATAGAGCAAAATTAACTTTCAAAGAAATTAAAAATATTTAATTTTCAGCTTTCTGTTGAAGTTATTGAAGTAAAGGAGGAGGGGAAAGGAGTTGTTCTGAAGGAGTCGGCAGATGAGGTAATAAAAAGGGGACGAATGTCACAATCACCCCCCCCCCCTAAAAAATGTCCCAAAAACATTTATTCGAATTAATCCTAATGTTTTAATAAATAAGATTGAATAAATTAAATTTGAAGCTGAACTTAAACTTTTTACAGTCTAAGAAAAGTTGTTTAATTCAATTTGAATTCTCTAAATATTGTTTTGTTAAATAGTCATTAACTTGATCAAACTTTACAGTTTCCAGACGGCGAGCCCAGTAAATATTAACTTTTACTAAACATGATGCTGTAACTAGAGATAGGCATTGTTCTAGATTATTCTGAGAGGAACTGTTAATGCAATTTTAAGTGACATGAGTAGACCCTATTCACAACTGTATCCTTTGAACCTTATCCTGGGCTAAAATAATGAAAATATTCTCTTTTTTTATCGAGAAAGTTATAATTCACAATCATGCTTTTTATGTAAAATTTATTCGCGGATTTATACAGAAGAGACAAATTGAACGTAATTTATAGAATTTATCAGTTTCTATAAAAAAGGGGAATCTTCCACATTTTTATCAGATAAAAGTTTAAAGAACAACGTTAAAAATTGAGCATGCCTGAACATTACGACGATATTTTAATTTTTTCTGACTTTTAAGAGGATTCTTGAGAATCAAAGATATTTTTGAAAAATGTATTTTCTTTGCTTTTTTTACATTGTGCATTCAGCAAAGGAATTGAGTTTTTGACACACACTCAAATTTCTAATCCCTTCATCCATGCAGCCTGATGGTTTACGTCTATTATATTTTGAACTTAGATTATTTGATCTAACAGAAACCATAGTTTAAAATATGTAAGGTCTACGACATTGGGTTGTTAAAATATAATGATTAGAAAATCAGAGTTTGTTGCAAAGACTCAATTTCTTTGTAAGAGGCGCGTAGGATATTAGATACAAGTTATCAAATCTATTTTATTTTGTTTCTGTTTTTTCTTTCCAATTTATATTTATGTTATATGATAAACATCATCTTAGATTCTTAGATGTAGCATTCTTATAATCCAAAACCTTAAAGGGGCTGAGGACATAATATCAAAAGACTTTTTATTTAAACTTTTACACTTTTAAACCGGTTTTCAAGCAAAAATGAAATCGATTATTTCCAAATTTGAATGTGTATGAAAGTGACTGGTGGATTTGCTCTCCGGAAGAGATATCATTTAATTGTCAGAATTCAAAAATTATCAAGATAGATATCTGACGATAACTTCTTCATTATTGATGCTCAGATAAAGGTCTGAAGGGTGTTGTTGTGATTTATATACAACAGGCGAGCAAATCAAACGTGGTTTAAAATCAAATCGTAAAATTGTAATTAACGTACTTACAAGTAGGGTTGTTAATCTTTTTTGAAAAAACAATAGTTTTTGAGAAAAAAAAAAATTTATTAAAAATTATGTTAAAATCGTTAACGAAGAGTTGTCGTTAACGATCGTTAGCGAAACATACGAACTTTATAAAAACTGTCTTTTTTGGAAAAACGATAATTTTTGAGAAAAAAATTACATGCAACTTTATTGAATGGTGTCTTACATGAAGTTAAACAGTTGTGTGGGAGCTAAAACTTCTTAATATTTTCTTCAGGTCGGTTTCCTCTCTTCGTTTACGATCGTTAACGAAGGGCCTTTGAATGATCGAGTTTTATAAAAACGATCGTTTTTAAAAACGATCATTTCGTTTTCGATTTTTCGTCGTCGTTTTCATAACGAAACGATCGTTTTTTAAAAAAATGAAAAAGTTAACATCCTTTACAGTTAGAAGAGACCCTCGGCCTCCTCCTTTCACAGAGTATCATGCATGTCCTATTCAAAACCCCCTTTAACCCATGCGAAACAATTTTAGGAGGATATCGTAATCTTCATAAATTCTGACAATTTACTGTTTTGTTTCTGCTACATAAATACGAGCCTCACTATTTTATTTTTATTTCAAGATTGAACGGATCGGAGAAGAAGCACAATTTTTGGCCGATTCCTTGTTCAGAGTTTTTGATGAGGATAATAGTGGTGCCATGCTTTTATAAACTTGGATCTNTCAGAATATATTCTTGCTCTATATGCTAATAGGTGAATATGGACTTTTCATAGTATATAGAGTTTTATGATGTTTTACTGATTCCTATAGACACACAAGGAAGTACCCTGCAAACCAAGAAACGTTATTTACTTTGATTATAAACGTTGCAGCTAGTAATGTAACCTAACTAAGCAAATGTAAATGACTTAAGGTTATGTTCCATGATTTTCTTTGCATGATAACATTACTCTGGGAAGGTTAATTACATAACCATAAGAATTGGGTTTATGCCACAAACATAAAATCCCTATATCTTTGCAACCAATGTCATACACCTTATATTTCAACCTATGAATTCTTTTAGATCAAATAGTCAAAGTTTGAAATATCAAAGATTTACGTCATCATCAGATTGCAAAGATAAGAAAAATTGAGTTTTTTTTATGAGGAAGATAAGATAAGATAAGATAAAGTTTATTGCTAAAATAAATGTATCTGTATACATATAGAGTTTACAATTACAAAATTGATGATTATATGAACAGTACAAGTATAAAGCAATTAGGTGGAAAATAGCTCTTGGCTGTTTTGATTATTTTTTCCACCTAATTTTAGATTATTCCACATCTTAAGAAGAGAGCTTGATGGTAAATACTGTAATGAGCACATTTTGAGAATGTCAAGTTGATAGGAATTACTGGTATGACTTAGTTACCTTGTAATGTAATATAACCTGTTCATTTTCATTTTACACCAATAAATGAGAACAAAATGTTGAATATTTCTGCCGAAAAAGTAGTTATGTTTAAAAACACATATAGATATAAGAACAAGTTAAATCTATCTGAAACTTACACTTTTATGTATTTTAGACTGGATTCTCCCCAAGATAAACTGAAATGGATTTTCAACGTATTTGACAAGTGAGAATTTTTTTATCTGTGTATAAATATTCTACTCCTCAGGGTGTCCCAATAAACCTTGAAATTTAGTGGCAAAATTTTTTCCAATAGGGCTTGGCAAAATTCGGTTAACAAAACAGAGGTTTTTTTAGAATTAACTTCAAAAACCGTTAGTTTTTAAATTGTTAACGAAACGGATTACAAAAAAGTAAGACTCTAAGAAGTTCACAACAAGAAGAATACTCGTATTTAACTGCAATTTCAGACACAAAATAAATTTACTTAAATGTATGTCAAAAGAGTCAAAAGATATGTATGTGCATTGCAGAGATGGGGGTGGGACTATAGATAGAGAGGAAATAAGCTCAATGGTCAAAGGACTCTTCTCTATGGCTCAGGTATAAACAGAGAAATCTAAATGGGGCTGTCGTTATAATTTCAAATGACCCTCCATTTAAAAACAGAGTGGCATGTCTGATTCACAGCATTGCCCTCTGTCTTTAGCATGAATCCTTAAGTCAACCCACAATTAAAATAACTAAAAGACAAAGATTTTAAATTTTGAAGTGTACTGTTGTAAATCGAAAATTTCACTTTTTCAATAGAGGGTCACTTGATTACATCCACAAGTATCCTTTATCAAGTTTTAATCTTACTTCATCAAATTAAAGAAAAGGTTTCTTAGCATTGATTTGAATGGAAATGTTTTTAACAGAATTATAGATTTACTTTTTTCTAATTAATTGATGAGACACTTCTTCAGAATTATTGTAGTTTAACCACATGTATAATTTACTGTCAATTTCTCATTTAATACAGCAAAGTGTTTAAGATAATTTTGTTGATTTTTCATTCAAAATGTATTTTTAAATTTGTTCCTTTAAATTTTTTTGGAGATTATAAAATGTTATAAATGTTTTCAATTTCAAAGCTTTCAGAGATATTTATTTATATTCATTGAATTGTATAAATTTGAACTAAATTCCTTATCCATCCAGTAATTTTGAAAACACAATTAAAAGTCAGACCACAGTTTGGATTTTTTTTTTTTAAACTCTACTCTTGAAGTCCTCCACTGTCATGTTTGGAATATTCTAGACTGATGTTGATACTGAGGAGATAAAAGATTGTTGTGATGAAATAATAACAGCAATAGATAAAGATGGAGATGGAGAAATAACCAGGTAGATAATACTTTAATTTCGATTCAATTGGATTTTATAAAGATAACGATAATTATAATCAATTATGATTGCGATGGTTTATTAGTTCTCAACTTTTAAATCCCCCTCCCCCTGTATAAAACATAGAATCAGGGGTGTACTCAGGAATTTGTCCAGGGGAGGGCTTAATGTTATTCCTTCTAGAGGATTGTGGGCTTATCCACTTCATCATTTACTTCTTTGTCCAACAAACTTGAGAAATTTTGCGACTTTTTTAGTGTGCACAGATTTTAGTTTATATCTTTATAAGGGATTTCGTAGATTTTCAAAATTTTCAAAAATTTAATGAAGATCGAATTTTGGTGGAAACAAATATTTGAAATTTTGATCATTCATAAACCTTCCCTGTGGTCACGTGATGTCCCACAAAAAAATTGGACCCGATCGGTTCAGCCGTTTTGACGTTTATTGGATACAAACAAACAGACACCCAAGCCAAATTTATATATACAGGGTGTCCCAAAAAACATGGGAATTCAGTGACGAATTCGATATCGTCTTTTTAACTAATTCTTTGATTTAGTATACTGATACCTACTGAGAAAGCTGTAATCTGTAAGAGTTTCGTCTGCTATGTTCACATTTTGTTTGTTTATGTTTTGACTGCAATAGGTTGTACTTAGTAAAACAAGAAAATTGCAGTATACAAACAGAGTAAACTTGTCCGTATTTACTGTTCATCTTGCGGAGACATTATAGACACATATTTACAGTCTTTTATCCTTTTCATAAAATAAACTCTAGCAGACATAATAATATTATGGCTTTTTAAATTAGGTAACACAATGCTAATTCATAACAAAGACGATATCGAATTCGTCACTGAATTCCCATGTTTTTTTGGGACACCCTGTAGATTAATATATAATAATTATATATAAATATATAATAATTATACTATTGCAGAGAGGAGTTTGTAGAGAATGCAATGAAGAGTGTTTTCATCAGTAATATGCTTTGTGGGGCAGATGGGGAGGATACTTAGATGCAGCGCAGTACAGTACAGTGTATACTTTACATGTTAATTATGTACAGTACTGAGCTTAAGTTGGGCGTGTACATTATACAGTGCTGTGAACAGTAGACATGTTGAACAGTTTAAATTGTACTGATCCCAAGTCAAATATATAAATGATATGTACATTGTATGTATGTATGTATAAAATACGGATGATATGTACATTGAAAATGTATAAAATACTGATGATATGTATATCGAAAATGAAAACCATTATGTCACACCCAACTATGAGAAATGGATATATGTATAAATCCATTATTCTTGTATACATACTGACCACTGTATGTAAAGTCACACATATTGTTCAATGTACATACATTAAATTGATTTCATGTCAAATATTCCAAGTTTATTTGTAAATATAAAAAATCGTTAGATATATGATTCCATTTAAATAATGTTCCATTTGATCATATCTTATTAATTACAGCATAATATGAAATAAATATAATTCAATTTTATAATTTTATTATATACAGCAGGTGTATGATTTTTAAATATTTTTCTATTTGAACTCAGAAACCAAATAATTATAAGAATTATGAACCCATTTACAATTGTACAATTTATGATAATGATTTTTCTTTGCTCGAACAGGGTTACCAACAAAGGATGACACTGTAAAGACGACCGAAAATTATTAAATTTCGACGATTTCCACTTTCAAATTTAATTAAGGCTTCTGCGTTGAATATAGTCTTTTATTGGCTTATTAAAGGTTTTCACAAAAATACTTAGGGACAAGTTCTGTTAAGTGCTTTATTGCATGACAGCACTATTTGGAAAGGGTCAAATAATGGAATAAAGCACTCGAAAAAAAGTTTAATTGATTTATAAATCTATTATTTGCAATCGGATTAACTTTTAATAATTCAAGTACCTATAGTAAGTTGTCGGGGATAGCAGCTGTAGCTTTGTTAAATAAATTGATTTGTTACATCTGTAGAGTTTACACTTTGGAGTAGAAAGCCGGCCCCTATATATTTAGATCTGTGATTGGTGTAGATTTCAAGTCCCACCAATCATATACTACCTTCAGGTAGGTGTTAGTAGTTCAATAATACACATATAGGTGTCTCTACAGTGTTAAAAGTAAATTAAGATTTGGTCTAAAACAATTAAAAATGTTTCTAATCAAAAGATTAGCTTTTTATTTCTGTAAGTTTATGTTTTGTATATTTGAAAAAATTTGAACTTTTTGTAAAACTGGTTTTAATCTTTTTCTAATTTCAAATATCTTAGTATAAGTATGTTTTTAATGCCAGAAATCAGCATTATACATTTTTTCGCCAAATATATTCATGCTTTAACGCTTTTTTGCAGGGATGCATATCCTGTATGTGAATTTAAATAGTTACTCTTCAATCGCTCTTCCCTAATCAAGTCGATACAAAGATATCCTAACAGCAATAAAAAAGTAGCGTTAATTGTGGGGGTGAAGGATTGCCATGAACCATGTGAAATGATCTCCGGAGCCTCCTGATTCGTAGAATGACCTCCAAGCCTCTGCCATCCTGTTTTAATCTGAATTTTCGTCTCTAATTAGAAGTTTTTGGCTTTTACATCCACCAAAAGCATTTTTTCATACATAATAACTTCATATAAAAAAATTTTAATTGATATATTTTTAGATTTCTATTTTTCTTTTCTTAATTTCAATCAGGAATAAAACACTTAAACTTCTGAAATAAAATGACAACTTGGGTTCAAAATTTTGTTCATTTCAAATCATGAATTTTAAGGCTTTTAAACTAAATTTGAAGCGTGGACACTGCACATGAGTGTGTTTATTGATTTGTTGGAGGTGTAAAATTGTTTGGTTTGGCATTGGAAAAAATCCTGTTCAAAGACGACCTCACAGCGGAGTAAGATTATTGTTTTTTGGTTAACAAATATATTTACTGGTCTGGTGTCCAGAATTCCTAACTCATCTCCCAACAGGAAGGGACATGCTTGTGCCTCAATTAATGGGGAATTATATATTAGCGGTGGAACACCCTCATTTACTGACAGAATGCTAGACAGTGTTGAAGTCTTGAATCTGGAAACTCTAAAATGGAGAAACATATCTTCTCATACAATGGAAAATGTAAATGGAGAATTAACTGTGTTTGGAGGAGGGAGTTTGAGGCCTTTAGATTCTTTAGAAACCCTCATTGGCAATTCATGGCAATTAGAAGAGATGAAATATCCCCATTCTGAGCATGCCTCTGTATTATTACCTTGTGAATAAGGTTGTCCATGTTTTTTATCTTTTTAATGTTATAGATGTTGATTAAGTTCTTTTATATAATAAATGTGAAATCATGATTACTGAAATCAGTGGTTTTTGTTTTTTGAAATTTTTAAATGTAAGAACTTAACATTTTGATGTGGATATAGAACTGCAGGGGCGTACGAGGGCTTTTGTTTAGGGGGGGCACAATTTGCACGCGTAAGCGCGCCAAAAAAAATTTTTTGGTCCCCCCCCTTAAAAACCCCTTTTTTGAAAAAATATTAACACCTTTTTAACATTTTTTATGCCCCCCCTCTCCCACCTGGACTTATTTTGTTCACCATAAAAATACACCATAAAGACTACTTTTTTGGGTGTTACTAACCTTAGAGTCTAAAAATTATTCCTTTGCTTGAAAAACTAACTTTTTGACTTTATAAATTTATCACTTAACTCCATCACAGCTAACTAAATCAATAATCACAGCATCATTAAAAATTATATTTTTACGAATAAACGAAATTTCTTCTGAAATTTTTAGATAGAATTTACTCAATCTACATTTTAACCAAATCTTTTAAGCTACAATTTTCTGGGATTTGCTTGCACAAACATTCAATGATTTTTTTCAGTAGAGAGCTCAGACAGCCTTATAGGGTGTAAAGCTATAAGTGCAAGATCGTTAAGTCTGCTCTCCGTCATAGTACATCTTGTGTAAAGAAGTATTCTCTTTAGAAGGCTAAAACTTTTCTCTCCTTGTATTAACAGTGAATTTAGACAAATCCTTAGTCTTTGTCATTGTCAGGTGTTACTTTCTAAACGTAGTTTCCTGTTAATTTTGTATTTTTGGAACTCCCAGGGGGTGGCAAGGGAATTACTGCCCCCCCTAGGTACACCACTGTGCCTGACCTGAGGAAGGGAAATGCAAGCAGATGTAATATTAAAAGAGCCTCCCCCATGGATGCCCCCCCTCAGCCTCTCAGGGGGGGCACGCGTAGAGGGGGGTGGGGGGGCGCGGCCCCCCCCCCCCTCGTACGCCCCTGTATAGAAGCCGTGCTTACAATTAATTGTTCAATGCATACCAGGGTAGTTCACCAGCTCTTCGGGGGTTGGGTGTTAATATGGAAACTATCTAGTTGGTTAGATCAGTTTCTCTAAAGTCGGATTTCATTGATCCTAATTACATGTAACCATATATAGGGTAGACAAAGATTCAGAGTTGACGCATACGAGGCATCTGACAAGGAGCTGCATGTTGTTTGAAAGTGCGCGATGCCACAATGTTCATTTAAAACTGCACTATGGGCGTAAAGAATAAAAATATTTTTATTTCCATAATTACTGAGACAATAACTAGCCATGCTACCTCCAAGGAACTGCTGGACCCACTGTGAAGAGTGTTTGTGCAGACAGTAAAGTGCACAACATATTTTTTTAACATTTTTTATTTTATTTTATTTTAGTTTTTTAACAATGTGTATGAAAAGTGCACAGTAACCCATAATATACACCTCGATTGATTGATTAGCTCTACAGCTTTATGCAGCTTTATTAGTAAATTCGGTCCGTGCTACATGAACAGGGCAATCCCCGTCAACATTTCATCCTTGTCTATAACTTGATCTGTGCAAGTAACATTTTATACAGAACTACACAAATCAAGATTTTCATATTTATCATTTTAATTTAAAAGCAATGATATCTATAATCTTGATAAAACCTGATATTAAAAACGAGTATTTTTATCGCCCATCCCATATTTGCAATTCCCAGCTCTCCTCTTTAAATTATTAAGTTCCTTGGTCTCTCGCTTTGCCACCAACTCAAATTTTCAAATCTCTATATCGTTGCAACCTGAAGGTGTAAACCTTTGATAATTCAAACTTAAATTCTATCTAAATTAAAATCTATCAGAATTCATTGTTTGAAATATTTAGTAAAAAAAATCATAGTTTGTGTCAAGAGATTATTCGGAGTTATTCTTTTATTTTTAATTGAAAAATTATTTATTTATTTAATTGTTTATTTTTCTACAAAAGTGGCATCAGAATAAAACATGTTTTAAAATATCTTATTGATTGTTACCTATTGATACAGTTTTGAGGGTGCTGTAGTGAATTAGACATGCCACAATATAAAATTATCATTATATGTCTAGAGTTCATACTTAGTTCTATAATTATTTTATAAAAGAAGGTACATCTTTACCCACGAAAAAACTAAAGTTTATATTAATATAACGAATAAAAAAAGTTTACAACTGTATTTGTTATAATCTGTAATTTATGATATGAGAAAATTTAATTTTTGAAAACAAATAGTCTTAGGATTTTTGAGGCACTTTTCCATAGTGTGTTTTATCGACTTCTACTCCCATATATTAGCATGAAACCCAAACGGATCAGTGTCTCCCTCTGTGGAAATCAGAAGAACTCTAAATAAATTATATAAAGACGACTTTTATAATATATATAGGTTAAGACTTCAGAGACTGCTATATTTAGTCTTTATTATAAAGTTTGCAGTCGTAAAATATCCAAATGAAGACGATCCCTACAGAAATAAAGACGACATAGAAACAGGAACCCTGCGAACAATCATTTTGTGAACATAACACAAAGCGACAACAAAAAACAAAAAAATAAAACTTTCTGACGAATTTTTTTACCTAGAATTGATATCCAACCCGAGTTCAGTTTTTATATTTTCATATCTGAATATAAATATTGAACGTTATAGAGTTACCCACAAAGAAGAAGACTGTAAAGATTAGTTAAATTAAGTCTTTATGCGTTAAATATAGTCAACTAATGGCTGAAAAAATTATCGGGAAAAATAAGAAAGAAATTTTAAGTTGCAGGAAATCATGGAACAAGAAAAGAGACAATATTCATTCCATACAGTCGTCTATGAATCTTCATCCTTTATGGGTAACTCTGTATTATGGTGAGGTTATTTGCTTATTTTTTATGTGAATATTTGTTTCTTACTTTTTGTCTGTTAAAATGGTGTAAAGGAGTCCCATGGTCACTGCACCAGATTCACCTAATTATATTATTCAGGTCAAATTCTTTAGGGTTCCAGGGTGAATCAATGCGTAGTAGGAGACAATGCTCAAAAATTGTCTTCGATTTCTCATGATTGATAGTTTTTAAGTTTCTTAATGTAACCAAAGTAATATGTAAACTAGGAGATATTCCATTTAAACTTTTAAACTGGTAAACCTGAACCTATCCTTGTATCTCCTGGTATACCTGAACCTATCCTAGTATCTCTTGGTATACCTGAACCTATCCTAGTATCGCCATGTATACCTGAACCTATCCTATATCTCCTGGTATACCTGAACCTATCCTATATCTTTTGGTATACCTGAGTCTATCCTATATCTCCTGGTATACCTGAACCTATCCTATATCTCCTGGTATACCTGAACCTATCCTATATCTTTTGGTATACCTGAGTCTATCCTATATCTCCTGGTATACCTGAACCCATCCTAGTATCTCATGGTATACCTGAAACTATCCTTGTCTCTCCTGGTATACCTGAACCATATATCTTAGTATCTCCTGGTATACCTGAACCTGGCCTAGTATATCCTGGTATAACTGAAACTATCATAGTATATTCTGGTATCCAGAAAACTCCGGAATTGGAAGACGACTTTTAGGGTCAAGTTTTAACTTTAAAAATCTAATGAGTCTTGGAAATAGTAATTGTACAGTGTTAACACACAAATACCACTTATTTAGTGATTTGATAATTAAGTGTCTCGTAAAACTATTTTCTTTGTAAAAACATCAAATACACTTAAGTATTGCTAAAACTCATCTTTATATTCCACAGTTTTCTGGGCATCACTGTACCTGAAACTATCCTAGTATCTCCAGGTAAAGGGTTGGCAAAGATGCGCATTCCCCTCCTAGTGACAGAATCGGAACAGGATACAAACCAAGAAGCAGATCTCCTAAACAGTTTATTTTAAAACTGAAGTAAAGTAGAGGGGGGGTGGCAATGAAGATTGTAAAATTATTCATCAAAAGTAGTAGATGCAATGTAATTCAGAAGAAAATGGTTGTTTCTTAAACGTTATCCATTCTTTTGCCAAGCTTGAATTTTGTCGCTCTTAACGGTACCTGAGTATAGGCCAAGCTTGAACGCTAGGAACCCCACAGCAGAGACCTGCCATAATTGAATCCATGTCCCCCAACACACTGCTAGGAAAACCATCCTTCTTCTGGAGTAATTATTTCATGAGATTTAAGGCACTTTTAGTCAAGTTCACACTGATAAAACATTTCTGATACAAAACTGTGATATTGCAATGTGAGCATTGCATCCACTATCTCAAGAAGTTATAAACCTAGTATACAAAAATCGCATATGTGCAGAGTACCACAACCCAAAACCTATAGTACCCATTGACACCATGAAATTTTTGTAAAATATAAAATACCAGGGACAATAAGAACAGCCCTTTTTTCATATCAAGGTAAAAAAACAAATGAAGCCGGATAAGTTTATATTAATCTACTGTGATTTATTCATCATTGCTTACCAGGTTGCAAACATGCAAAATTACCTACAAAGGCTGAGACTTTCTTGACAACCTAATAATCTGTTAATGTGTAAGGCGCTAAAGGTTGTATCGGGTCTTTTGCCTGAAATGTCATATTTTAATGATAAACTATTTGAATTCGCAAAGAAAACCCAAGCTTATAGATCCAAGAAACCAGGAATGTAAGACTGAAGAAAGTCTCTAAGCTGTCTTTGAAGTCTTATCCTTTGTGGATAATAATCCTCTATCTAAACTACATAAATAATAAAATGATATACCTGTGCTGAAAGAAAGAAGCAATCTGCCTTATTTGGCTCTACACAAACTATCTTTGAGTGAAGTCTAAAAAATAAAATGAAAATTTTATTGTTTGGTCCAATGTAGGTACGAACTACAATTATATTAAGCTAATAAACTGATTTGGAGAGTTGTCAAATTTTGGAAGGAATGACATTAAAAAATCTACATAAAAGGTTCAAGAAAGAACTAATCAACTTGCCTTTCATTGTTTGAAATATATGCTGCCAGCGCCCCAGCAAATGATCCTACCCCACACTGCAGAAATATATGAGATGGAGAATAGTCCGGACACGAGTTTATTATCTCCTGAAATAATTGCAGAAGTTTTATAATGTCGTCTTCCCTACTCATCAACCAAACCAAATATTACTGAACCTGAAGGATTGTAGTGTATCCTTGCATGATGGACAGGGGAATTCTTTTTTCCATCTCTGTATCAGACTCCAATGCAGTGTCCTATATGTATTAATTTGAAATGTTTTTTATCAATCTCTGCATGCTGAACTTTCTTCTTTTATTTTTCTTTATCAGGTTTATTAATGATAACAAGAAATGCCTTTGAAAATGGAATGTTGGAATTAACCAGGGTCAGCTTTTTTTAATAGGATGGTTGAACTGTAGATAAATATTTATCATTAAAGTACATAATTTTATATAGATATATTCTTTAAACTAACACTTTAATGACGGTATTTGCCAAGCCAACATTGACCGTCTTTAATGGCAAACCCAGATGTTACTGTATGATATAGTTAGTTTAACCCCTTCTCGTCTCCATGAACTGGCCCACAAGAGAAATTGTTGAACTATGTCTGTTGCATTTCAGTTACTTCTTTTGCGCTGTTCATTAAATCTGGTCTCTGTGCATTTAAACTTTTTCTTGTAACATAACAGTTAGGTGCCTTGGTAATCTTACTTGTACAAACAGACCTCCATTGCTTTCTGCAAACAGTTTAGCTATCTCAACACACTTTCAAGGAACATAAAGTAACATTGTTTATATAGCAATAATCAGATTAAACTAGGTAAATAGTTTAGCTTTCTCAACACACTTTCAAGGAACATCAAGTAACATTGTTTATATAGCAATAATCAGATTAAACTAGGTAAACAGTTTAGCTATCTCAACACACTTTCAAGGAACATCAAGTAACAATGTTTATATAACAATAATCAGATTAAACTAGGTAAATAGTTTAGCTATCTCAACACACTTTCAAGGAACATCAAGTAACATTGTTTATAAAGCAATAATCAGATTAAACCAGGTAAAAGTTTGCTCTGTTCACTCTTGAAATTTAAACCTGCACCTCCTTTATTCAAGTTATTATTGGATTTATTAGTGAACAATTTATTCATGATTTTCTAGATCAAAGATTTTATAAAATTGAAGGTTTACGAAAATAATTTGGAGAAAAAGTTCTTGATCAATGAACAAAATGATTCCTGATCATAGTTATATTCGGTGACCTCAACATCAGCTCGTAATCGCCTAAAAATATAAATATAGATCCAACAGGAATTCCGTCCCACTCAGATATAAAGAATACTTTCTAGGTCTTAAACTGCCAATTTGCTCACCTAATCCTTTCTGCCCTTTCAGGCACTGTACCTTTCGGCATGAAGATCTGGAAATAAAATATCAAGAAGTATTTGATACTTTAAATTTTAAAGCTTTAAAATAAAGTAAATAGGGGACATAGCTAAATGGTCTGTTAGTGACAAAGTAAAGTTTATAGTGTTTTAGGGTTCTTTTTTATAAAACCTATTTACTATGTGATAAAATATCTCGAAAATTATCTAATCAATAGAAGGAATTTGTAAAAGGTTTGATAATTTCTTTCAAGTTTAGTTTGGTAAAGGAAATGTTTAATGCTTAAAAACTTTTAGAAATAATGATCATGGTTTTGTAACCAAAGTAAATTGAACTTCTTCCTGCAAGGATGAGCGTTTCTTTGAAGGAAAAACTGATCCTAACTTAAAATTATTCCTACCGAATGTCCAGACATCTATATACATTGATATAATGTATTCGATCATGTATTCAGGAATGTACGTTACCAACTGCCTTACGTCAAGGACTTTTTCGTTTTCTCTGTAAAAAATTTATAGAAATCTTCTTTAATGTAGTGGCAAAATATGCTAAAAAAAACATTTAGAATAATTTCAATCTATAAGTTCAAATGAATAATAGGTTTTACGTAGAAGTTTAAAAACATAGATAGTTAATAATAATTAGAAGTTTACAAACATAGATAGTTAAAAATAATGTACAACGTACTGCAGGTTTACAGAATATTGTGTTACCCGATATTTATTACAACCCTGTAGGTTAATCAAGTATGTGTTAAACCTTTGAACTGAGCTGATACAAGTTTGCTACATGAGCCAAACTGTATCCATGGTTTCCATCCGTTGCAGACACCAGGGTAGAGATGTTACAACCCTTCTCCACTGCATCCTGGTACCTGGACAGAAAATAAACCAGAGGTAGAGATTTCTTGTATTCTATTTAATCTCAGAAAGCAATAATCTTATTTTTTGTACTTTTGTATGTATAATGTTAATACTTTTTTATGATATTTCTAAAGGTTTAACCACTTAAAATCTGTTATCAGCCAAATATATGTTGTGTTGTAAATCTTATATTACATAAATACGTTCCCACAATAAAATTTCTCTGCAAAATCTCAATATTAATTTTTAGATCTAAAACCTGATAGTCTCTGAATCTCCAAGAATGTATTTTGCAAGAGCAAAACTTGATCCTAGAACCTAACAATAGTTCTTTTTCATTTCAGATTGATGAATAATGAATAACATTTTTTTTATTTTGTTTAACCTTGAATGCATTCAGTTGGAACCGTTTTGACTCATCTTTAACCATAATGCTGTCTACCCCAATCCGGCGAGCCAAGTTGGCCAGATTAATTAGAGGGGTCACTAAACAATTCATAGTTATTGTCCCAAACATTTTTATTTAAGAAAAACCTCTCCACTAATGAGAAAGAAGAAGTGAGACGTAGATTTTCATATTTTTCAGGAAATATACACCCCTCTCAGATGATCTTAGGTACTTTCCTAAAGGCATTTTCCCAAGTTCCAACTTCCCAACCGATTAAATTCCCAAGCAGCAACTTCCTAAGTCTGTCCTAGCCACAGTTGTGGGCCCCTAGCCCAACCTAGCCCCAGTGTTTGGCTCCCATAGCAACCTGCTGTGCCTCTAAGGGCCTAACCTAACCAATGGGAAGTTGCTGCTTGGGAAACTGCACATTTGGGAAGTTTTCCTTGGAAAAATGCCTTTGGGAAAGTGCCCAAATCTCTCAGGTTATATACAATTTAAGGTGCAAGGTGGAAATTAATGTTAATCAATCAATCAACCTGAATATCCAGGAAGGGATTTATGGTAGTCTAGAACTTCCTCAGAGACTTCGGGAGAAAACTCTCCTAAAATCTTGTTTTCAGCGGCTAACATTTCATCCGTCCGAAAAATATTATTTCGTACAAATCTAATTTCATCTTCCATTTTCATTTTTTAAGAATTTCTATATAAGTTTTTTCATTACTTTTCTACAGTTTAGGCAATTATAGCTTGTATAATTGATAATTCACTAAGTATGATAACTCTATCATTCTAACAAATATAATTAAACAAATAGAATTTTTCTTCTCTATAATTCAAATCATCAAAATAATCAAAGAAAAAGTTAAATTTGTTATTGAACAAGATCGTCGGATTCCCAACATTACCCTTTTAGAATCTTTAGTTGATTTACAACATATTGTTGTCTGTTAAATTCTCACATTTTTCTTTATTGTCTCTGCAGCTAGTATAGTCACTTTTCACACTTGAGAAAATAAAGATATCTTAACTCTCCTTGATCAGACATGCCATAAGACGAGAGTCACGTAAATTTTATGTTAGTCCTCTTAAGAAATAATTAATGTATTTAATTAGACAATAAGGAAAAGCAAGCATAATTTACAGTGAATCCTAGATATATGAATACATAGACCATCATAATATTTTTGATAATTCTAGAGAAACTTCTTTTTATTTTAATTCAAGTTAAATTAATATTTTTTCGCACCATGTGATCTTAAATATGTAATACGACATTATAAAAACTCTTGCTATGTATTCATATATCTGGGATTCACTGTATATCAATCAAATCGTGTAAATTATTCTGTAATAGAATTAAGAATAAAAATAGTAATTTTCACAATAAAAATTTTATATAAATGTGACAAAACTGAGAGAGAATTTTAAACAGGTTTTGATCATAGAGATTAAATTACATAGACTTCAATCAACATTTACAGCAAAAGACAGAATTATAATGAGTGCAAGAGAACAAATCGTCTATCATAGAGGTATAAAGATTACAGTTATCGTTTAAAGAGAAAAAATTGTCGATCATAGAGGTAGAATTCGAATATATACGATTCACTTTTACAAAAAAAAAACTAAATTTCTGTCATAGAGACAAAAGTTCTTAAAGTGCAATTGTCGTTTATAGGAATAAATAGTCTATCATAGAGACAGAATTATAATGAGTACGATTATCGTTTACAAAAATAAACAAAACGTCTTTCATAGGGACAGAAGTATTTAAAAAGTACAAATATCGTTTTTAGCGAAAAATCGTTCATAATAGAGACAAATTTATATAGAATGCAATTATCGTTTACAGAGAACAAATTGTCTATCATAGAGGTAGAATTCTCGTTTACAAAAAAAACTTCTGTCATAGAGACAGAAATATTTAAAGAACAAATTATTATTGCTAACAGTCATCACATCGTTTTTCATAGAGACAGAATTATAAAGAGATTAAAAATGTTTGTTTACAAAAAACGAATAGTTCATCATAGAGACAGAAATACAGAGAGAACAAATCGTTTATCATTGAGACAGAATTATAAAGAGAATAAATTATCGCTTACAGAGAACAGATCGCCTGCAGGCTATAGGGAGGGCACTCTAGTATGCTGGGTCCATTATCTCCTGATCCAATCAGGGTTCAGCCATGTGTTTGGTGTCTATTCTGAACCAACAGAAATTGCATGGCGGTAACATCTATCTTTCTATCTATCAATCTTATTATCCAATAAGAGATAAATCCTTATATCGGCGTTATAACAGTAAATGGAAATATTTACTTTTATTGAAACTATGGTGAGGGAGGGAACCCCCGGACGCCATGAGCCTCTGCCAGGCAGACATGAGCCTCCTACCCCCAAAGAAAGAATGCTTTACTTTGTCAGCTGATTTCTCCAGAGTCAACCTGCCTCCCTATAGTTGGCGTCCCCAAGTTGTGTCTGTGTGTAGCCATTAAGTACCACTTTACCAAGCTTCCTTATAATTCTTGGTTTTAGCATGCAATAACGATTTTTTTACAATTTTCGACAAAGTGGCACAAGAATTTTACTTAAGATTAATGTTGCTTATCGATTGCCATGATTTGTAACTTATGTTGACTCTTAAAGTGGTTTATAAGATTTATGTTTCACAATAAATCATTTCTTACGTACGCAGTAAGGAGGCTATTTGGAAATTCATTCCTGAATTAAACTTGGTTTATTTTGTTTTAATCTTCGATTTAAGCAATACTTTTTTTGGAATTTTTTTTAGATTCAGATTATTTGTCACTGTCAAATTTTGGTTATCTTAATCTGATAAAAATTTCAAGAAAGGTATTGCTTAAATTAAATATTCAATAAAATATCAAATAAAATTACTTTCAGAATTTTTTCTCTAAATATAATACTTTTTGCGTAAAAAATGTATGCAGTTTTATAAACTTCTTTACTGGTCATAATTAGTCACTTTTTATAATAAATGATTTATATATTACTTCTGATCTTTGATAAACTTGACATGCCAATACTTCGAAAAAAAGACAAAAAATTCTTTATGGCGGAAACTCGTTTACTGTATAGCGGAGGTTCTTACTGTATGGCGGAGGCTAAGGAGGCACATAGATCAAAGCAAATCTGGGTGGCTCATGTCTACATAGCAGAGGCTCATGGCGTCCGGGGGTTCCCTCCCTCCTGTAGGTTGTTAATAAGTAATTTTCACAAAACAACATGATTTATGTAAGTCCATTGTAGGGGAATACGTACACACAAAGAAAAAGACATCGGAGACGACACTGGGCGGGTTGCAAAGAAATTCGTTTTAAGAAATTTGAGTTTGTGCAAAATATTTTTTCCTTTGCTGATTCATTCTTGGTTTTCTTGAAAATCAAGCAAATCATTTAACATTATACCAATTAAAGACTTTTTAAGCAGATGAATAAATTCACTTCTAAATCGTCAAATTCATAAGAGACGTCATTAAAATCTCATCCTTTGAGGGTTACCCTGTAATATAAAATAGTATATACTACAATTGTAATTTATTTTGATTGAAGGTATTTACATATCTTTCATAACAAGATTGCTCAAACAAAATTGATAAATTATGAAATCAATTAATTTCATAATTAGGATTATAATTTCATTGTTCATTGACAACATGTAAGTTACTAGCATATCCTATAAGGTACTATTTCTAAATAAATAAAAAGCATAAAGGTAAGAACTAACAATTAACATAAAAACAATAATACATAAGAATAACATGATATTAAATATCTAAATATCATATAACTGAACACTCACGGGTATTAAAGGGAGTGTTCGCGAAAAATGAAAGGGGGTATAGGCTTAATGCGATAAAAAAGCGCTTATGATCGCTACTAATCTTACTTCTATCTGTTGCGTCTATAAGGAGAAAATTGATAAAGACGTCTCATACCGAAGAGCGTAGCGCCCATACAAATCGAGGAAGTTGGAACATATNTAATAATAATAATAATAATAATAATAATAATAATAATAATAATAATAATAATAATAATAATAATAATAATAATAATAATAATAATAATAATAATAATAATAATAATAATAATAATAATAATAATAATAATAATAATAATAATAATAATAATAATAATAATAATAATAATAATAATAATAATAATAATAATAATAATAATAATAATAATAATAATAATAATAATAATAATAATAATAATAATAATAATAATAATAATAATAATAATAATAATAATAATAATAATAATAATAATAATAATAATAATAATAATAATAATAATAATAATAATAATAATAATAATAATAATAATAATAATAATAATAATAATAATAATAATAATAATAATAATAATAATAATAATAATAATAATAATAATAATAATAATAATAATAATAATAATAATAATAATAATAATAATAATAATAATAATAATAATAATAATAATAATAATAATACCAAGGGAAATGTTAAGCTTGGAGAAAGGTTCAGTGTCTCCCTGGTAAACTCAATCTGGAATATTGTGACAGGATCACAGTTTGATCTTGAGGATAATAATAATAATAATAATAATAATAATAATAATAATAATAATAATAATAATAATAATAATAATGATTATTTTCTAACCAGGGTGGGGTGAGGTTCCTCTTGATTGTTCAGTACTCTGACAGTATTGATCATATTCCTCCTAAAAAATATAAAATTCAATTTTTCGTTTCATAAAATTATGTTGATTTATGACATGAAAGGAAAGGTCGTTGTATTTTCAAGTGACCCTCCATTTAAAGGGAGGCTTTCCTGATTCACAAAGGTACCCTTCAAACCATTCTCTGATCAATAATATAGACATACCAGTCATACCACTCAATATATAGAGGATCAGACATACCACTCAATATATAGAGGATCAGACATAACACTCAATATATAGAGAATCAGACATACCACTCAATATATAGAGGATCAGACATACCACTCAAATTATAGAGGATCAGACATACCACTCAATATATTAATTTATAAAGGGGGGGGGTGTGGGATTTTTAGCTGTTGTCCCCCCCCCCCCAGAAAAATGAGAATGGTACTCTTTTCCTTTAGTTCAAAAATTGATTTGTTGTCTGAAAAATGCAATTTTTTGTGTGTCTTTAGTTTTAATACCGGCCAATATTTACACATTCTTGATTAAGAATTTTGTATTTTCCCAACCCCGGCCCGGCAAGGTATGTCTGGGCTTGAGTTAAATGTCTGCATGTATATTGTATAAAGTATAATGTATATATGGATTAGCATGTATGAAAAATATAATGCATATATCTTAATAGTGTCTGACTCCAGAGTCCACATATATAATATGGCAGAAGAAAACAGAGTCTAGCTATTTTACTACGCAATATATAAAAGCGCCCATACAAATCGAGGAAGTTGGAACATATGACTTAGACCGTAAAAAAATCAAATTAATATCAAACAAATCAATCAGATATTGCAACCTACAGTCATCGTTTTTTTTTCGCCACATTTGTATATAGTTTATATTTTATAATATATATATTTTTTAACTATCCCGAATGACTTTTGAAAATATCAATTTCGTGGATTTTAAATAGCGAAGACGATATTTTATCGCATTAAGCCTATACCCCCTTTCATTTTTCGCGAACACTCCCTTTAATGATTGAAAAACTAGTAACAAAAACATAAATGTTTCAAAAATGAACATTTAATTGAATTAAATCTGTCCGAGCACTAAAAACTATAACGTTAATGGTACTATTAAACAAAATATTAACTACAACTTATTCTACAATATCACTGGTCTAATTTTTGGCATAATTTTTAACTAGGTTTTTTACGGTCATGTCATTTTTAAACCAAACGAAATAGCTGTAAGCAACATAGTCAAGATCTAAAAACAATTTGTTTTTTAAAAAAACTAAATGTTCGGTTATAAAATTAATAAATTTTGACTAAACATATTAAATTTCACTTTTATGCACGTCTTTCAAATTTTTTCAATTGTTTTCTAGTTTTCATGCTAAAGTACATCATATTTGAGTATTATTCCTTGTGTCACCACCCTGATACATATTTACACTAATATAGTGTACAAATAATTGAAGGAATAAATTCTAAAACAAATTTCAATAAAATTTTTTTCAATATTCACATGAATTTTTCAGAAAGGGTGAGGGGAGGGTTGGGGGAGGCAAAGCAAAGGGTATGCGAGGAAGGGAGCAAAAAAAATGAAAACTGTTAGACTCAGACTAGACTAAAGGATGGTTTGAATCATCTCCAAAGAGAGTTTGAACCCCGGGACGGGTTTCCTCGCCTCCTCCAGGTCGTTTAAACACTGTCCTCTGCTCAGGAGAGGACAGGGATTCATCAGATCCGTCCTTACTGTTTGGGTTGGAGAACAGAACTGAAAATATCAACTTTCATAAAGAAATAATACGGATAATAATAATAATAATAATGATAATAATAATAATAATTATAATAATATTAATAATAATAATA